TTTGTTCTTCTTTTTTATAAGTAAGCCCCTTAAGACACCAAGTGAGCCATATTCTTTGCACCCCATATTAATTTAAGTTACATACACCCCTATATGCAAATGTGTGTTATCAAAGACATTAAAACAAAAGATAGGAACAAAAAAGAAGACATCTTAAACGGCAAGGCCAAACCTATCATCATACCATGAACAAAGATAGATATATCATCATGCCTGCTGAAAACATTAACAGACACCCTTCCACCACCACCACCAGCAAATCCATTACCACCAGAAGCGCTCAGTGCACCATCTCCTACCCTGCAAGGTGAAAATTTAGATGAGAATCTCAGTCTTTTAAGGACAAAAAAATATCGAAGAACATCAGTTCATTTAATGATAGATGCAAAACAAAGAAGAGAGCAAGATGCACCATGTACAATGAACAGTCTGACAAGAAATATAAAAGTACTAGATCATGTGACATTCTGTAATAAAAACACATTAAGAAACAACTCATGCTTACAAAGACCAGACAATTAGTATAGATGTAGAACTTATTCATCAATACCATACATAGGGTTGCTGCTTCAAACTCGGCCAATTTTATGCTGTAAACTCCAGAACTCATGGCAGAGTGTTCTAAGACGAGCAGAACTAACATTACGTGATGAGTTTGTAATTAAGAGGTTAAGAGTTAACCATTGCTCATGTTTGTCTTTGTCATTAAAAGGCGGCGTGAGAGACTCCTATCAGAATTCACCATCTTGGTCTCTGCTGTTTCAGTTTGCAGAAGGAAGGAAAGAGCTTCGTCCAACATGCTAAATTGCTAAGAACAAATGTAACCTACACAGAGCTGCCATTTCGGTCTCTTAATGTTTGATAGGCAACGGCTGGAATTTATTACTTTTACAAAGAGTTGAGTCTGTATTTGCACAATATAAGCAACTAACTCTGGAGGAAGCAGAGGAGAAGTTTTAATGAGAAACATATCAGCCAGTTAGTCCCAAAGGGCATAAAAAAGCATCTGGGGACAATGAGGAAGGCAATGTATCTGATAAGGGAGAGGAAGATGAAGAAGAAGCTTGGCAAAAAGTTTGGAGGGAAGAAGGCATGGCAAAGATTGGGAGGCTGCTGTCGGATTTAATGGTAAGTATGTTAAGGAGGGAATGATGCAGCAGATGCCATGGAGTTCAGGGAGTCCCCCCTCTACTTTTAGTTCACAGAAATAAGAGTACATTTGAACTGGTGTGTCTGGGGAATAGAAAATTGCAGGCAGTATCTGTACTTCTGGTTGGGTTCTCAATTGAGAATGCCATATGTCCTTTAACAAAAATTTGATTAATCATAAAAAAAGTTACTAAAATTTTTATAGCATTTTGCTAGCAGTGGTATCGTAGATTCTTTCTCTTTATGTGGAGGTAGCAAAAGTATTAGTGACATCACATCTCTGAGCACCTTAAAACTTGGGTTTGGCAGTTTCAATTCTTACTATTTGATGTTTAAGTTTGTTTATCCCTGCATTATCCCGACTTTGTGCTCTATGGCTGGTGCACATTTTGTTGTCTTCCATTTCCTTGTCCCCTTGGCAATTACAAAAGGTTGACATAGTTTGAGCCTTGAGAATCCGTTTAACGTTTCTGGTGCCTGCTAAATTATATAGAAATACTGGAAATTGCTGCACTATACGAATGTAGTAAGTTCGTATTGCTAGCAAGAACTTCTAAGTTTTTTGACAAAACGTATGGTATTTGCTTTCTGTATACAATTTCTAACTATTTTCATTATCACTCTAGTGCTTTTAAGCACCATACTAAAAACGACCAAATCTCCGTAGCCGCCGGTATTGATACTAGTAGTATCCTAAAGACCAAGGAGCTATACACTAAGCCAATTCTAAGACAAATGGGCACAGGAAAGAACTTACATTCTATGAGCCTGGATACGGATGCTGCCTCCTGAACCCCCACCACCCTTTATACCGCCATCTCCACCTTCCCCCAACAAAGTTCCATAAAATTCAATTGAATTAGTGGCATTCAATTCAATCCTCCCGCCTCCTTCTCCGCCATAATTCTCCTCCTTGCTCGTTGTCCCACCTTTACTTCCATAACTCCAAGGATTCTGCAAATCAGCCCACGAATAAGCGTCCCCGCCCCACACATCCTCCGGCAACTTGGTATTATCTGAGAGGCAGCTGGCTCCCCGTCCCCCATGACCACCACCTGCCCCTTGCACGCCTGAAGGGGTTCCGCTAGTCTCTGGGGGAGGCGGACCAGCCAAGGCAGTAGTGTTAATCAGCGAGCCATAACTCAAACTCACATTCTCGGCAGCCAGCGACACAGTCCCCGCAATTATCACCGCATTCTCCCCCAACCTAATCTCATGGCTCACATTGACCACAATGAAACATCCGCTGGCAGCGCAGCTCAAAGTGACATCGGGAAGCAACACCAGGCTCCCGCTCCCCGCTACATACACGTGATCAGTCAAATTCAAAGACGAACTCAGCTTGCACACAGTGTCCAAGGAGCCGACGCCTTTGAGATCCTCCTCGCAGGTGACAGAGCGCGGGAGCGGAGGCGGAGCAGGCGCCGGCGGCGACGGGGGACTGTAGTCTCCGTGATAGGCAAACGAATCGAAGCCACCGGAAATGGAGAATTCGCCATCGTCCAGATCGGTTTCACTCATGCAAGGCGTGGCTGCGAACCAGAAGCCGAAGGCGACGACGACGAAGAATTGCAGAAGGAGAAGCGACGCAGCTGCAGGAGCCATTTCGAGGAGACGATGCCCAACATTACATGAATATAAAACCCTAATTTTCTTCGAAAACCTTTTCCCTCTCCCTTCCTTGAAAAATTTCCGCGCCTTGGAAACGGAATTCGCGGATCAGGCTCGGATTTTCTGATCGGTGGAGGAAGTAGCTCTGGCGGTTACTCTCTGTGTAAGAATTGGAGGACTATTTGGCGGAAACGGGACAATTTTCCGGCGGAATTCGGGAAAGGTTTTGTCGGTTTGGTAAGAGGAAGAGTGTGCAAGAGAAAGCGAAGGAGAGTGACGACGGAGGAAGGAGGAGGAGGAGCGGAGGTGGAGGGGAAACTGAAAAGGGAAAGGGAGAGAGAGAGAGTAAAAGGAAAAAAGAAAGATGGGAAAAAAAACAGATGGAAGAGAGATAGCGCGCCTGAGCTGGCGCGTAATTAGTCTTGCAAGAGGTTCTGCTACTTGTTTTGACGCCCAGTTCTAAAAAACTGGATAACCGTCCTTTTCTGGGCCTGGGCTTTCCGTTCGTTCAACAATCAGATCTGGGCTCTACGGCCAGTTAACTTACGACTTACGAGACTGATTTGCGCATCAATTGCAAGTTTGAAACAGTCACATAGGTCAAACAAGCTAAATATCCACCACAACAGGATAAAGAAGGGTATAATGATTAATTTGGTCACCAAAGTAGAGGCGGCAATTAGAATCCAAATCCAATCCATCCACCAAATTATCAACCTAATCCAATCCATTCGATCCAAATCCAATTGGATTGGTGGATTCATCACTCATGGATCAATCCATGGACCCAAATGGCAAATTACGATTTGGTACCTATATTTTTTATGTTTTACATTTTGGTACCTAAAATTTATATTTTTATACGAAAAATATCACTGGAAATTTACATTTTGGTACCTAAAAATTTTCATTATGACATTTTAGTACCAAAACTTTTCAAATTTTACATTTTGGTCCAAGCCTTAGATGTCATTTGGATTCATGGATCAATCCACCAATCCATTTGATCCAATCCATGAATCCACCAATCCATTGGATCCAATCCATTTGATCCATGGATCCACCAATCCAATCCACGAATCCGATCCAATTGCCACCTCTATGCCAAAGTGTCGTAATAAAGATGTTTTCATCGGCGCCAACCCACGAAACAAAGAACGAGAAATTTTTTTCATTGCGATAGTGAATTGATGTATACAATATGCACCACTACTCTAGTAAGATGGCTTTACAGGAAGGGGGAAAAGGTTCCACGACAAACCGATCGTGCACCATTGGCAGAGAATGATCCATCTTCGGGCTCGTAATCCTCAAAGTTTCCGAGTGAACCACTCTTAAAAGACGTTCTAAGCACATCCATGCGAATGGATGAGCTATGTCAAGATGACTAGCATATATGTCTCTAGAAAAGGAAAGTACATAAAGCTGGCAATAACGAAACAATGTTAATCACCTTATCGTATTTAAGGAGAACACATAAAAATGGCTAATTGAAAGTCAGATAACATGTCTAGCTATAAGACAGTCAATTGTGGAAGAAGAAGAAGAAGAAGAAGAAGAAACTTGAAGAATTCGAAATAATGGAAAAAATGGAGAAATGGTTGATTGAATACCTGGAAAACCAGCAAGCAGAATCGGAGAAGGTACCCAGACAGGTGGTCCGATGGAAACCTCTAGATACCACAACCTACAAGATCAACTTCGACGGGGCGACCTTCGCCGGAGTTGGCACTGGTCTAGGGGGTGGTGGTTCGAGATAGAAATGAGGTTTTTTGCTGTGCGGGTGTTAGAAGAACTCGAATTCAATGGACAACGGAATTGGCTGAGTTGCAAGCCATTAAATTTGGTTTGGAGAATGCAATGGAAAAGGGGTTTGTTCCAGGAGAGATTGAATCGGATTGTCTTAGAGCAGTGCAACAGATAGAGAAGGAAGAGACTTTGATGACGGAGGAAGGAGCAGAGAGTGCAAAAGTGAGAGAAATGATCGATAGTTTTAATGGTTTGATGGGGATCCGGTTCTCGGACAGAGAAAGTAATCGGCAACCCACATTCTGACCCATATACAGTGTGGGTGGGGAGAAATAGAAATCTGGGCCTCTAGGCCACCAATTTTCCTTGTGAACCAACTTATTTCTGATTCCTGTAATATTTCGCATTGATGAAATAATACAGGCTTATCTATAATAATAATAAAAACATGTATAACTATGAGATTTCCATACACAATAAAAATAAAGTGTCCCATTGAGTAGTTGTATTTGTGGTTATTTTAAAAGAACATACAATTAGATTGTTATGGAGCTAATAGAGTTTGGACGAATGAAACTATTCGGTATCGTTCGTACTGATGAAGCTATTCGATTTCAACATCCGTTTGCTAACATTCTCCCACACCGGCAATATATAAGCGAAAAGGAAATGCCTTCTCTAGCTTCACACTGAACCCTACAATCCAACCTAGCGAGTTTCATTGTCGCCATGACTGCCGCCCAATGAATAAGCTCCACTAATCCACACGCACATCAAGACAGCAAACCTTGAGCTTCCCTTAATTCCACCCTTCACACAAGAAGGAAGAAAGCTATCTCTCTGAGTGCTCCTTCTTAACTATACACCAAAATGGACGGCCAAGAGAGGGAGATGGACAAATTAGCATACTTCATTCTTTTGAAAGCAAACCCAGAAACAGGACAACTCTTCCTAGATATTTTTCATCTTTAGATATATATTATTATTATTATTATATTGTTATAAAATAAAATATCAAATAACATAGTGAAAGAGAGGGAGTGATGAGCAAACTTTCTTCCACGCCATCCATTCATCCGACAAAAGCTTAGTAATTATACTTAAGCCCCTCCCTCTTCAAAAAAAAAAAAAAAACAACAACAACAAGAAGAAGAAGAAGAGATATTGCAAAAGAAAAAGAAGAAAACAAAAGAGGGAGATGGCTTCCATTGTCGTCACCACCACTCTCTTCCATCCAAACACATCATCAGCCTCCTTCCTCCTCTTCGTAGCCAAATCACCATCTCAGCTTCTTCCCTGGGAAGTACTGCCAAAACCCAAATCGACAGAAATCATCATTAGGATCCACAATTGAAAGAAGAAGAGATAGATATTGCAACGGAGAAATTCTGTTGTTTGTGTTGCATACTTTGGCAATGAGAGATTGGTAGTATGGCTTGACTGCATCAACATCAACGTGGACCTTGCTCTTGCTGTACAGATCATATTTGCTGCAACAACAACAAAACCCACATTCATCCATCATTGATCAAGCAAAAACCCAATATGCTGTAATGAAACGAGAAGATGGTCTATGTTATAACATACTTGAAGATGTGGAGCCACTTGATATCCTCCTCGTCCTGCTTGTTCATCAGCTGCTTGTACGCCCCGTGCCTGTGCAGAGCTACAAAATCACACCATACCATACGGAAAAAACAACGTTAAACCAACGAAACGAATGATAATGCGAAGGAAGAACAAACTCGATCGATATGATCGAATCGAATACTACTTACGGTAGAAGGAGTGGTATCGAACGATGAACAATGCAGGAGAAGGCAGGGTTGTTTTATTCTCCTTGGCGACAAGGTACATGTAGTCGTCGTGGCCCCAGGACATGTAGACACTGTCAAGGCCGCATCCTTCCTTGTAGACTCCGTTCTTGGTGGTGTAGGCCGGGTTCTTGCTGTCCGGGTTCTCTGCAAAGTACTTGTGATGGACGTTAGACTCGTCGAAGGCGCAACCCAGTGGGTATGTGTCGCCCACCACGGCCCATTGGGGCAGCCCACCGAACTGAGGAAGCAGCAGAATCTTCCCGAGATCTTAAAAAAAACAAAAAAAGGATTCCAATTTTTTTAATCAGAAGGGACACCAGGGCACAAAAATCAAGGGGTACAGAACAGGATAGGTGGTGTCGTACCGTGGATAAGGGCGGTCAAGTGGAGCCAATCCTCGTTGGGGTAGTCCTTGCGGATGGCCTCGGCGGTCTGCAACAAGTGCTGGATTTGGGGCTCGTCCAAGTCTGGGTCGCTGTCGTCCACCACGCTGTTGAGCAGCTCGCAACACTCCCATACGCTCATTTCTGCCTTGTCCAGCTTCCCATACTCTGCCCTCATCTTCTTCACCTACATCATCATCATTTCCCATTTTGTATTTAAAAATAAAAAAAAAACATAAAAATATCTGGCAGTGAAAAAGGGAAAAAATCACCACTAGACGATGACCAATGATTGACTTACGAAATCAAGGGTCTGGGTAATGTGCTGCTGCTTGTAAAGATTCTCCACCGTCTTTTGCCTCTCGTTCTCTGCATTGTAGTTCCTGCAATTCCACAACCCCCAAAAACACACCACATATTTTGTTACTTAATCGTCACTGATAAACCCACAAAAATTACGGCAAACTCATGAAAGCGGACGATTCGGACTTATAAAATTGTGATATTACTATGGTTTACCTAAATGAATTGCCAAAGGCGTTAATATCGGGGGCTGCAAATCCATTGCTGGAGACGACTTTGTCGGGCACCACAAACCCACCATCCAAAACCAATTCCTCTTTTACTTCTCCGACTTTGTTTTTCTGATCCACCACTGCTGCAACAATCATAATCATTTTCCCGTATGAAATAGTGACCTCATAAATCCACACTATTTTTCCTTAAAATACATAATAATAATAATAATAATAATAATAATTGTGACGCATAAACCGAATATTCGGATATTAATTAGACAAAGTACCAAATACGGATAAGCTCCAAGAAATACAATAATGTAACAGGCGAGAGGGGAAGAAGAAGAGGCGGATGGGGAATACATACCTGGAGCAGCGGTGTTAACGGCCTCCTGTTGCTCAATACGGATCGTCATCTTGTCCTTTTTTTATAAATATATATGGCTACCTAATATATATAGGAAAGGTAGCAGGAGAAGGGGAGGACCAATTATTTATTTTATTTATTTTTATTTATTAGAGGCAAAGAGAGCCTCGGAGAAGAGCAAAGAAGCTCGGAGGGAGGGTTACAAGGAGGAGTTTCTTACGGTTTCGCTCATTCGCAGTGCCGATTGAATGGGAGGCTTGAGAGGGGCTTTTATAGCCCGGCGGCCAGGAAAAGGGATGTCCTTTCTTGATAATTGGAAGGATTCTCAGGTCCTCAACCACAAAAAATCAAAATCAGGAAAATTAATTATCACCGCAAAATTACTTGCTATTTCCAGCAGCCCCCACAATGAAAAGTTCAACCCTTTTTGCTATTAATAAGGTTGATGATAATATATATACTGCTAATAATTGTCGGGGGCCAAAATTCAGCTGACCTGACCCGACCTCAATGCTCCACCTAAGGCAAGCGGATGTGGCAATCCCCGCGGGCATTATATTATGCATCTGGGATTTGATTATTTGGACAAAAGGATAATAACTAAACTAGTCTTGGTGTTATGTTAATAATTGTATAACACACATGATAATTTACAATATAATTAATTTTCATTTGCTTTTATGTCTAGTATTTGTGAATATTGCTTGGAACAAATACGGACAAGTATAATGTCAATTATAAAGATAAATTTATGAGTAAAAATAATTTTTTATAAGCGGATGGGTTGAAGTAACTCTAGTTCTAGGCTATATATCATTATATTAATCAGATTAAAATTTAAAAATAAATGCCTAAAGTTTAATTGCAAGTGTTTGACCCAAGTTCCGTTCTTGCAAGGCCAAGCGCCCTTCTTCCCCCTCTCCTCGAAACCAGTTGCCTTCCTCGCCTTCTTTTCCTACTCCGAGGCGCCAGGATGGTCCATTAGCTCTCTAGCGCTTAAATAAGCTCTTAGTGTTTAGGGAGAGAAGTAAGAAAAGTTTAGAGAGAGAAGTCCCAAGCTGAGTAAATGAGATTCACCTACACCCCTATTTATACTATGAGTCTTGCCGACCAATGACCCCCATTTTCGCCCCACGTCATCATTGCAATAAATGTGTCATACACCCCCCTTGATATGTGCCTCGACCATCTGACACCTCCATCAGAGGTTCAGGAGCATAACCTATGACAGTCAGCTTTTCGAACAGTTTTGACCGTTGGATGTCTTTTGTCCTATGCACCTCTTGTCAGACGTCAGGTCCCACTCGCCCAGACTGCCACCTGTCATCTGGGGCTTATCCTCCCTTATACTTGGGCCGGTTTTATGCGACTGAACTTGCCCTAGCCGTTGCTCCTGTTACTGACGCTGATTTGGTCACAGTGTGTCTTCATGGCCTTGGTCCCGATTATCGGGAGTTTGCATCTTGGATTAGGGCTCGTGACGTCACTCCATCCCTTGAAGACTTGCTCGACCGCCTCGTTGCTCTTGAGACTGATCATCGTGCCTCTTGTCCTTCCCCTGACTCTCTGACTACGGCGTTTGCTACTCGGCGGGAACATGGTCGCGGTTGTCGAGGAGGAATGCCTAGTCGTGGTGTTGGTCACGGCTCCGCTCCGCTGCCCTCCTCATCTTACTCTGGCTCCTGGGAAACTTCTCGTGGTGATGATGATGGCCGTCGTACAACTCGTGTAGTGTGTCAATTTTGCGAGAAGCCGGGCCACTCCGATCACACTTGTTTTCAGTTATTTTCTCACAAGCGCCCGCAGGCTAACAACATTACTGCTCCTTCTCGGCCCCGCCCGTCTGCGTCGGTGGAGGACTCTTGGCTAATGGACTCGGCTGCGAGTCATCATGTCACACCCGATCTCGGCAACCTAGCGCTTTATTTGGACTATAATGGTCCTAACGAGGTTTATCTCGGTGATGGTACAGGTTTGGCAATCACCCATATTGGTTTTTCTTCTCTTCCTGCCTCTACTCGTCGTCTTACACTTAATAATATTTTATGTGTTCCGGGTATTCGTAAGCGGTTGATATCTGTTGCCAAACTCTATCGTACTAATCCTGTTTCGGTGAAAATTTTTCCGATTTTTTGTTGTGAAGGATTTAAGAACGGGGGCGGCGCTGCTAACCGGAAGGAACAACAGTGATACGTATGAACTTGGTGGTGGTTCTGGAGTTGTCTGTCTTTTGCTGGTCACCACTCGCAACACTCTTGATCTGTGGCATCATCGTCTTGGGCATCCTTCATCTCGTCCTTTGTCTAGTATTCTTCGTGTCAATTCTCTTCCAGTTGTTAAGTCGTCGGCTCTTTCTCATTGTAACTCGTGTCTGTCCCATAAGTGTCATAAACTACTGTTCGGTGTTTTCAATCTTTCTAGTACTCGACCCTTGGATTTAGTTTTTTTTTAGGTTTGGGGTCCTGCACCTATTCAATCTATTGATGGTTTTCCTACTATCTTGTTCTTGTCGACCATTTTACTCGTTATACTTGGTTTTACTCATTACGTCGTAAATCTGATGTTCTCTCTGTCTTTACTGCGTTCAAACGTTTGGTAGAAAACTATTTTGCCACTACCATTCGCAGGCTTTACACTGATGGTGGCGGTGAGTTTGTTAAACTACGTCATGAACTTCCTTCTCATGGTGTCACTCATCTTCTCACCCCCACCTTATAATCTAGAACACAATGGTTTTTCTGAACGAAAACACCGTCATATAGTTGAAACGGGTCTTACCTTGCTTCATCAAGCCCGTTTTCCTCTCACTTATTGGTCTTATGCCTTTTCCACTACTATGTACCTCGTCAATCGTCTCCCATCTTCTTCACTTCGTGGTCAAGTTCCCTTCACTCTTTTGTTTAATGAGCCTCCCAATTATCTTAAGCTCCGTGTCTTTGGCTGTCTGTGTTACCCCTGGTTGCATCCCTATGCTCCGAATAAACTACATTCTCGTTCCCGTCGTTGTCTTTTCATCGGCTACTCTCATCAACAGAGTGCCTACAAGTGTCTTGATCCTGTTTCTCTTCGTGTCTTTTTGTCCCGTCAGGTTGTCTTTGTTGAGTCCAAACTTCCTGGTTCTGGTCTCTCGACCTCGTCTCCCTCTTCTTCTTCCAGTTCGGAGCCAGTGCCTCCCTCATGGTTTGCCGCATTTCTGCCTCCAGTCAGCCTCATCGCCACACTACCTGCTCCTCCTTCCCAGTCGTCGTCGTCGCCCATTCGTCCTCACATGCCAGTTGCTGCTGAGTCCCCTTCAGCTCCACCTGTGACGGAGCCTACTTCTTCTACGTCGAACTCTCTAGCCACTACTGACACGAGGGCTTCCTCGACGCACTCACAGCTGATTCCTCATCACATGGTCACCCGAGGTAAAAACAATATCCGGAAGCCTAATTTGGAGTGGATTTCTCATCATTGAAGCCCAGATTGCGTCCCTAGGAGTGAAGATTGACATCCCAGAGCAGATTTTCCTCATCTTTATGAGTATGACTACTCTGATTTCTGATTTCCTTTCTCTCTCTATGGAGTAGAACCTCTCTCTCACTTGGGTATGAAGAACCCTAGTTCCTTGTGTTAGGGATTTGATTGTAATGACTTGGGATGATATTACTGTTTGATTTTAATCGAATGATGCATGTTTATTGAATTGATTGGAGTCTGATCAGCTTTTCTCAATTTCTGCTGCAACCTGAGATAGATAGAATCTGATTAGGTTGTTAGAGCTTCTTCATTTGATAGTAGGAGATTGGCTATACGAGAGTTAGCCAGTTTACTGCTTTGTACTGGAATTCAATTCCAGTAGTGGAGTTCTGTGCTTATTGCTTCAGCTTTCTATCCCGGTGAAGACTAGTCGTCTGCCGGGTAGTTATACTGAGAGGGCTTGGTCAGCTTAAGAGATTCCAAGCTACTGTCGGATCTTCCGCAGTCTAATCAACAGTAAATCAACCCAGGGAATTACAATTGAACCTAACTAAGGGGCTAGGGGGACTCATTCCCGAGTGACTCTTACCTGCTTTAGAAAACCGAACCATTTACTGCTTTCTTACTGCTTTTGCTTTTAAACAACAATCACTCGAACTATTTTGCTAGATAATAGAGAATCACGGAGTAAGCAGTAGATCTAGACCCCGGGTTGATAATTAAACTTGCCTGTTACTGCATTCCCGGACTGCGATTGCACTTGGTCGCAGTTTGGTGTTGTGTTTTGGCGTGTCAAGTTTTTGGCGCCGTTGCCTGGAGAAAAAGGGCCCTCGGCATAGAAATTACGGGCATGGGGGGAGTAATTACGGCCGTAATTCATCTACCCCCTGCCCGTAATTAATTCAGACCAAGAAAACTGAAAAACAGGCTCGGCATAGAAATTACGGGCAAGGTGGTCAGAATTACGGTCGTAATTCTTGACACCCCTGCCCGTAATTCGATCAGAGGAGGCAATTTGCTCTCGGCCTTAAAATTACGGGCAAGGCCGGGGGAATTATGGCCGTAATCTTGCCCGTAATTCCCCCCGAGCCTAGTTTAAAAAGTGTCGGCCGAGACACTTCCCTCTCTCTCTCCCTCATTTTTCTGGTCACTTTCTCTCCCCTCTCACCGGAAAACTCGAACCAACTCTTCTCCGGTGGTTTTCCGGCCATATCTCGCTCATCGGAGGTCCAAATCAAATTTCGAGACCACCCCCGTGCTCCTCTCGTTGGCGCCCACAAGTCTATACCAGTGGGGTCGAGTTTCGTGGTGGTTGGGTCGCCGGAAAACCGCGACCCTTCGGTATTCCTCCAGCCCGATCTCCCTCCTCGGACCTCCGATCGAGAAACTGCGACCACCACCTTGTTCCTGGTACTTGGGGCTTCCTTCCCCAAAGTTTTGGGTCGGTTTTGCTCCGGTGAAGTCGCTGGCGACGAAACTCCGGCGAGCCTCCCGGCGAGTTTCCTGGCGATTTTTGTGGTCTCTCGGTCTTTCCTCACCCTCCCCACGATATCCTCTTGTGCCTCCAGGTTTGCTTCTATACTTTTACTTGTCATTTGTGGAGGATTGATATTGTGGGTTTAGTGAGGAATTTCGGGTATTGGTTTGTGCTTAAATTAATTCGGTAGGCCTCCATTGTTGCTTGCTTTGTTTGCTTATCTTTCGGTTGGCCTACCGAGTAATATGAGTTGTGATTGTTCTACTTGGAGCCTAATTTGCTGTCCGGGTTTCTAATCCGAGGGCTCCAAGTGCGTTTGAGTTTCTGTGAATGGTGAATGATTCTGATTGGTTGTGAATGGTGAATGATCTGATTGGTTATGAATGTTTTTCCTTTCTCGGGGCCTAGTCCACTATCCGAATTTATGTTTCGAGGGC